TGGGTCCTTTTATTTTCCTAGGTGGGAAGCTTGAAGTACTGAGTTAAACGTATTAATGGAAGAGGCCATGTTTGGATGGGTCCCCCTGTGGCCAGGGAGACTGACGCAGGAGAAACCCCAGGTTTTTATCCTCAATCCCGGAGTTTGAAGAAACTTCTGGAGCACGCGAAAGGATTTGGAGCTGGATTCGGAGGCACTACGAGCTTTTTCCTATTTTATTCTTGGTAGATCCCATTGGCTCCTCAGGCAGAAAAAGAAAACCTCACTCCCTGATCTCGCCCGGCTGCTCTAAAGCAAATCTTGGGGAAGGCTGATGCTTAACGAGGGTGAAGGGGGCTATGTAAAAAGATGTAACAACAGTAGTCTGAGCCCTCAGTATCTGGGTAGTACCCGTGCTGCAGACTCTGCGGTGATCCTGGCGCCGGCCCTCCAGGCTTCCTCTACGCCCCACCCGTCCGGTTTTGCATTATTTTGCTTTAAGGTACTTAAAACACTGTTTAAGCTGAAAATTTGCTTAGAAAGGCGGGGAAGAAATAAGCGAGCTGAATTCATATTGAGAAAAAGTGTGATAAATAATTGGGCCTCAACAGGGTTTCATTCCTTCTCTCTCTCTCTCTCTCTCCTTTCTTTTTATCCCTCCCTCCCTCCTTTCCTTCCTTGATTTCTCACTTCTCTCTCCCTCTCCCCCATCCCTGTCTGTATCCCTACCCCTGCCTCTACTTATCTCTATCTTCATCTCTGTCTACATCTCGCTCTATCTCTATTTCTCTAAGTCTAAGAGAAGAGAGGCAGCGTGAGGGTGGTGTAGGTGACCATTTATATGCTGTTTCAGAACCTTCTTAATTGTGGGTTCTTCGCTCCAACGCTGGAGTTTGAAGGAGACATCCTGGAGATGATTCTTCCTCTCCTCCCTCCAGAGACAATCTCAGAACCATGGACTAAGAAGCTTTTGTTGTACCATAGAAATTATTTTTTAGGATAATAGAAATAACTACGTATATTTAAAAAATCACGGACCTGTAAAACTGATGTCCCAGTGCATGCCTCCCGTATGGAGTTAGGCATGCCCCAAACTCACTCCATCCACCCACCTAAGTTTAAGTCCTCAGAAATGTTTCCTTTTATTTTATGCAAAGCTAGGGCTTCCACTCTCAACTCCCAGGTCTATCATTCCTCTCCCTCATGTTATTAACAGGGGATGT